TCATTCTCTAGTTACGTACAGGTAGGTGGATTTGTGTATCGCTTTACAAGGAGGTGTCATCTGCCCCAGCTTATTTTCTGACTTTGTTGGGCACATGTCAGTTTTGTTATCACTGTCCCAAAGCTGTGTATAGCATGATGCTATATAAACAAAATTTGGTACATACTGAAAAAAGTAACCCATAGTTATTGGTTGTAGAAATGTGCTGTCAGAGGTCACAGTGTAAGACAAAGGGATATGGACTAAGCTCTTGTTTCTAGACCAGCCAAGACATCTGCTCAGTAGAAACTCCATCAGCCTCCCTGGGGAGGAGAAGTGCTCTGTGATCCTTGCAAGCGGGCCCCAGAAGGAGCCAGTGAAAGAGAAGAAGGAAAAAACAGGGCTGTTCTAGTAAAGGGAGGGATGACAGAAATGTGTGAGACAGAATCAGAAGAAATGTGGAAAAAGAACCTTAACAAGTTGTATTTATGAAAGAAAACTGTGGTCTCACAATATGTACAATTTTTAAAGGCCAAGTTAATTGTTTCTGGCAGCCAAAGGAGTAGCTCCACACCTCACCAGGAGTTCTTTGGTACATAAGTGTGCTCCAAATAGCCTCAAAAACTGACTGTCTATGTCTTTTTCAAGTGAAAACAGAACTCCTCAACAAATATCCTTCCTTAAATTAGGTTATCAGCCAGTAGTATTTACTTTGTAAATGCCAATGGTGGATTCCTAATACAGGCTTAAGGATCCTGTGACATCACTCAGAAATTGCAAGTGTTACAAGAAGCAGCACAACTATGTGGTATTTTCAAAGTGCCTGTGGTTTCCTAACCGAGTGCCAAAGGCCACCGTGATAAAGCAGGGCACGCTACTCACCTCACTGGATGTGCTCAGCATGGCACTCCGGCCGAACTGTGCTGCTCTTCCACACAGCACCGTGCTTTATATGGAAAGCACACTGATTTGACAGCTACTGTAAACACCCTGCAGTCACAGTAAAACACAGCCATTTTCAGCTAAGCAGAGAAAGAGCTTGTGTGTATTATGGTGGTGACTCTACTCTGTGTAAAGGTGAAGTTACTGACACCCGGTGGACTCATTCATTGCTAGATTTGTGCCCTTCATTTAAAGTCAGCAACACTCTTCAGGTTGAAACTTTCTAAATATAGCTTTGACAACCCACTTCTGAGAGCCCAAGGGAAGAGACATGACTACTTTGCTAATTGATGCTGATACACCAGGGAGGATTGGCACTGTCTGCAGCAGAGTCTTCCCTTAAAGTGGACTAGGTCAGCTGGATGGCACCAAGTCAAACAGTAATTCTCATAACCTGACCATCTTTCTCTAAATTATTACATTTCCAGAACAGTATTACTACAGTGGGAAAACAGTGCTCTCAATTTTGGAGGACCAGCACTGAAACAACATGTGTGAATTTAATTTCAGGTGCTTGTGTACATGTCTTTCATAATTCTGAACCCCTCAGAACTAGGTGATAATCTGTTTTGGCCTCTTGCATAAGCCAAGACATATATTTCCCTCTGGTAGGGGACTGACCACACTGTGCTCAAAAACTTGTATTTTTAATAAAAGTACAGCTAGTACTTGGCTAATTCATACATTTCAGAAAGGCATTCAGTTTTCTTCTAATGGCCTTGAGGATATTCAGAATTTACCACTTGTTACATTACATCCTCAACTGCATAAACCCAGTCTTAAGTTCTCCATGGGGACACTGTCTCATTCAGTACACAGGACAAAATCACTTAGCTAGCAGCCATTCAATATTTCAGTTTTGCCCTTTTTATTTGATGCATAGCCCTAAAAGCCTTGTTTACTGCACATTATTCCAGCTCTTTTCTGAAGGCAGAATGATTAATTTCTTTACAGGCTTTTCTATAGTGCTCATCAGATGTTTCTAACTTGTTATGTGCAATTTCCTAGCTTTTGGAAAAACATACAAAGGAGTGCCATTATGTGGCATCATATAACTACTGCCATGATTCATATCAGCAGGGATAGACCAGACCTTTGCTATCTTAGCTAACAGGTGTAAACCACAGGCTGCCAGCATGGCCAAGATAAAGAAGATGAGGCACATGCTTAAACAAGTGATTTTCACTGATATTTGCTGGCACCAGGATGGGAAGAATCAGAATCTTAAGGAGACCGAAGGATATAGAAAGGAAGTACAGGTTCCTGCTCCTCTGCCACTTTCAGAAGACGGACCCCTTTAATTTAGCCTTTCTAACATGCCCACCTCTCAACCCATGTGTCTTCTTATCTATCCAGTCTTATCCAATGTTACCTATCTTACCCTATTTTCTATCTATCCTTATTTCTCTCACTTTGTTATTGAATTTATCTTTCCTCCTCTCCACTTGCTTACAGACTGAGTCTCTGCCCCAAATTTCCTATCTCCTTGTCTTTTTCAACTCTCCTAAATTTTACTTCTGTCCCTTGACTAAGACATCATCACAGAATACTCTGAATTGGAAGAGACCCACAAAGATCATCAAAGTCTGTCTCCTGGCCCAAAACTGCACAAGAAGGTCCCAAGAATCATACCATGTGCCTGAGCGCATTGTCCAAACACTTCCAGAACTCTGGCAAGCTTGGTGCTGTGATCACTTCCCTGGGGAGCCTGTTACAGTGCTCAACCATCCTCTGGGTGAAAAACCTCCTAATATCCAACTTAAGCCTCCCCTGACACAGCTTCAGGCCATTCCCTCACATCCTAACACTGGTCACCAGAGAGAAGAGAGTTAAGTGCCTACCTCTCTGCATCCCCTCATGAGGAAGCTGTAGACAGCTATGAAGTCTCCCTTCAGTCTCCTCTTCTCTAGGCTGAACAAGCCAAGTGACCTCAGTTGCTCCTCATATGGCTTCTCCTCTAGACTCTTCAATATCTTTGTGGCCTTCCTTTGGACCTTCCTATACTGGGGTGCCCAAAACTGCACACAGGACTCGAGCTGAGGCCACCCCAGTGCAGAGCAGAGTGGGACAATCCCCTCCCTCGACCAGCTGGCGATGCTTTGCCTGATGCCCCCAGGACACAGTTGGCCCTCCTGGTTGCCAGGGCACTGCTGACTCAGATTTGACTTGCTGTCAATCAGGACCCCCAGGTCCCTTTCTGTTGAAGTGGCTTTCCAGCCTCTCATCCCCCAGTCTGTCCGTACACCCAGGGTAGCCCCAGGGCAGGTGCCTTCACAAATCCATCCTGGTTGTGACCAATGACAGCACTGTCTTTCACGTGTTTTTCAGTAACTCCCAGAATAACCTCTACAATTTTACCAGTCACTGAAGTGAGACCGACAGGCCTGTAGTTACCAGGGTCATCCCTCTTGGCTGTGTTGAAAATTACTGGAGTTTGAGGGGAAGGAGCATTCACAGACTCCTTAAAGCTTTCAGAAATACATATCTGCTAAGCACATATGTGTTTTTTAAAGGTTACAACTTGGATAACGTGGAGAGGATTTTCTTAGGGATGGTAAAAAGCACATTAATATGTTACCCATTACTTGCAAAACCTCTAGACACTAAGGCACAGTAAAGAAGATGTCACAGAAGCCTTTAAGGTCTCTTCTGTAGCTTCATTTTCTGGAACAGTTATGACATTTTCTGAAGTAAACTGGGCCAGAGTGATTTGCATCTCAGAAATTTTTATTCCAAATTACTATAGTTTCAGAAAATTTCAAGCAACTGAAATAGGAAGACACAGAATGTGGTTGTGTCCACAGAGTAAGACAAAAATTAAAGCTGTTAGTACCATGTTGGAATCTAACTTGATGGCTGTTCTGGTATCAGTGACTTGTCTGAAATCATGACATTGAGCAAAGAATATAATTCCATCTAGCTAGGTTTTTAATGACTGATTCTGTAAAGGCTACATTAGAACATCAAAGTAATATTATTACCCCATATAAGCTTGAAATCTTTATAGCTGTTTTGTAATGTTCTCCTGACATATGCATCAGCTATTCATTTGCTATTTTTGTACGTATTCATTATTTTGTACACATTCATTATTACCAAATATTTCATCCCTTGCCTGTAAGTTCTAGTATTTTCTCTCAATTATAACTTCCCATTTGTCCTCTTGTGCACTAATACCCCTTCACTTTTGGAGATACCAGCAGACTCCATGAGGACCAAATTTATGCCAGGAGATACGAATCTGCTAACAAAGACACTAAGCAGGCACATGGATATAGAAATCCTATAAAAAATAAATTAGTCAAGACAGACTTCTAAAATCCTGGAGAGACCTAATAAGGGCTACAGTTAAGACACTGCATTGATGAAATTTGATTTACTGTTCTGATTTCACAAGAGAAGTGGGTTTTGGTCTTCCACAAAGCTCCCTGTATTACTACTATTGTTATTAAGCTCTAGGCCCTGTGTCTGGCAAACAGTTTGTTTTGGGTTTAGTGCCACAGAAAAGAGAAAAACTTTCTGGGTAGGAAAAAAAACCCCAAAACTGTGGAGTCACTGCCCCTACACAAGGCTGGAACTAAGCTGCAGCCTAAGGGAACAAGAGATTAATTTTGTTGTAAAGCTACAGTTTATCTTGATTTGAGTAGACACAGGACAGCAGCCCAAGGTTTACAAACCTCTTATCTATCTATCTATCTATCTATCTCTATATATCTCTATATGTCTCCATATTCTAGAGTTATTTAGTTCAAATCTTTCAAAGATCCGTGTACTGCTAATTTAAAATTAATAACAGTTAGTAAGAAAAGCAGCAAGGACAAAGCAGTGGACTGACTTCCAAAACTATCAGCCCTTGTCAATTAAAATATTTACTTTTGATATAAGTGCTAATCAGTTAAAAACATTCAATCCAGTCTTAAAATAGAGGTTCAAGCTACCCAATTTATTCTTGGAACAGTCACTTGCTCTCAGGATTAGGAAGACAATGGCATCCAGAGCAAGCATGAGCCCTCTCCCCTCCTATTACAGTTAATCAGGAACATAAATACTATAATGGAGCTGAGCCCCTGCAAACTCACCAGGCTGTTCATAATTTCCACTCCAGCTGGATTCACTGTGAGCGCTTCATCATACAATTGCTTAGCCTCCTCCAAATTGCCTTTCATCTCTGCAAACTTCCCACGCATGTACAGTACAGCATGAGATGTGGGGAAAAGACTAGCTGCCTCCTGGATACAAAAGCCTGCTTCTTTGAGATGCTGCTGTTCCATGAAGAGTTCAGCTAAAAAAAAAAGCCACAAAAAACCAGACCATAAAGCAAAAAACACTGTAACATTAGAGAAAATATAACAGAGACCTTTCTTTGTATTAATTATAAATCATCTCCCTTAAGCATATTAAAACATGAGGCTGTGATCTGGCACAAGGCTTACTACTATAGTTAGTGCTTACTGTCATGATTGGACTCACTGAATGGATCTTTTCCTAATGCTAAGGGCACTATACAGATGTTCATGGATATCTTTAGGTGGTGTCCTGACAGAGGACAGCCTTAAGGATTCCTCCATTGGGAATGTAAATAGTGCTGAACTAAGCCCTAAGGAAGCAGGGCTGGTAGCTACTTGGAGCCATCATATGTATTTCCAAGTAATCTGGGGGGAAAAAAGAACAGAGTAAGATACCCCTGTCAACTGAGAACTTCAGACATGTCAGAGTAATATGATACATCTGAGCTGGATAACTTACCTTAAAAAAATATTTCCCCATTTAAAAAGATGATAAAAGTGTTTCTCTCTGCTTATTTGTCAAGTTTATGAGATAGTTGTCTCTTAAATTTTCAGAGACTGTTAAAATCAAAAGGCTTTTATAATCTAGACCTATTTATATTGTGTATTCACCCATTTACTTCCTCATACAATACAGAAAAACAAAATACAGCTCTTGGAAGAGACCACTAATTTACTTTCTTGATCTTTCAGCAACTGCCTTAGTGGTTTTCTTAGGAAAAAAATGTAACAGGCATACCTATGTGCTTGAATGTCAACTTGTTAATGAAATAATTTCTCATGATCAACATAAATTTCATAACACATTTCATGGTTGAACTTTAACATTTCTCAGGATTTGGACTAAATGACTGTCTGACTAGATGATTGTTGTGTTGGACTGAATGGATGATCATTCTAAGTCTCTTTCAACTGAAATAGCCTAATTCTAGATTTATTAGATATTAAATTCTTTTAAAAGGTCAGAAGTGATACTCAGTTTTCACTGCTACATGTAACTGAAAAGGGAAGCTGTGTTTTTAGACAGATATATATATATATTTATACACACAAATCTATACACAAACCTGTATGCATGTACATATATAAAATAATTCTCTCTCTTCATGCAGCAGGCATTGCTCTTTGGTCCATAACCTGTTTGTGTTCTATGTGTTCTCACTGCAAAAAATCAGTGTCTTTTTTTATAACTGATGTGGTAATGCAGTAAGTATTGACAGTTCAAGAGTCCAATTCAAAATTACTAATTCAGGCTCCAGATTTAGAAAAAATGATTCTGAAATTAGACACAACCTTAAATGCCCTGACTTTTAAAGGCAGTGAATATTCTCAGGAAGTCTCTGCGAGGAGGGAAATTAGTGTGACAATTTCTCTTAAATAGATTTGAAACTCTGCCAGTTTCAAAACACTGGGATACCCAAAAAACTGTGGGGACTTGGCATGATGACATCAAGACTGCTGGCAAGAGGTGAGCAGGAAAGCATCTCAAAGTCAGTCCTGCCTGACCGTGGAAAGGCTCCTCCTTGCCTATCTGACATGCGACTGGGAGCACAGATAGCATTTCCACTGGCACACTAAAAATGATTATGTATGAAGTGACAGCATGGCTGAATTAACTTTCCACTTCTGAGGTGGTCCTCCTAGAAGAAGGGTGAGACATTGTCAAGAAAAAGCTCGAATATTCCTTGGCCATCCCTAGGTTGTGCTACAGATAAATGTCACTCTCCAAGGCTGTCAACATCAGCAGAGTATTAGGTCCTTCATAAGAGTTATACTCTTTCAGAATGACTCATATACATTTCTCTCTGGTTAATCATAAAATCTCTGCATGCATCCCTTCCCTTGGCTCCAAGAGGCTGCAGCTATCTATAATAACAGAAAGCAAGGCCATGTACCTTGTCAAGCTGAGTATTTGCACAGCCTTTTGCAAAAATTTGTGGGAGGACAGTATTTTCCTTGCACTTCCAAGGAACAGAGCATTTTCCTGCCAAGTGCTGCATAGCAGCTGACGCTGTGCATGTGGCACTAATGAGGACGGGGATGTGCAAAGAGGCGATCACTGCCTGAAGATGAACACTTCATTCGCAAAGTTAGCACAAACTTAGCAGCACAAAAGAAGGGGTGAAATCCTGGCACTGTTTAAAGTCAGCAGAAGTTCTGGATACTGCCGTATTAAAAACTCTATTAGTAACAGCATCATGTGACTTGTTGCATTTCAGAAAAGAATTGGAAGCAAAGGGGTTTAGATGTGAAATCACGCACAGCCGGTGTTTCAGTGCATACAAAATGGAGAGTACTTACTCTTTCAATGGTGCCTGTAAATCTTCTTCAGTAATAACAATTATTTAGAGGAAGTGCAGCAACACAGAATCTAAATAAGATCTACAAATTGTATTTTATGGTATGGTAATGTAGCATATTAAAGTTCAGTCCATTTCTTTGCAGGCTCAATAGTCAATAAAAATGATTTAATGGTGTGGGAGGTCTAATTTGCATAAAAAAGAATGAGAGGGGTGCCTTTTGGTTATGAAAGGAAAGGAATGCTAAAATTTCTAGCTACCAAGCTAAAAATAGACATTAAAGGATGTAGTTTAGGCCTTCATTAAAATGTGTTTTCTGCAAACTCATTTTTCACTTCTATTACACGCTCATTTTATTTACAGATTAACAAGATACACTTATGTAATATAGAAGAAAAACACACCTAGAGGCAGAAATCAAACCCAAAAAACAAGTACCTCTTACATTTTTCATGGTAATACCCTCAGTGGTACTGAAAGTACTGAAACACCTGCTTTTGTGCTACCTGGGTTAGCAGCTTCCTGACCACTGGATTAATCAGCCTATCTCCTTATATAACCTAATTATGCAGTAAATAAACACCTAACAAAATTAGCAGCCCTTGTGAGGAAGTTCTGTTATAGAGACATGGCACTCAGCTCCACTACAAAGCAGAGGATATCTTCTTAGGCTGACACAGCTACCAAAGATCTATAATTCTTATCCCATGAAAGGGTCAATGCTTCAGGCAAACCATTTATGAACTTATAATTGCTGGACTACATTGTTCTTGGTACTGACATTCTTCAAAGCTTTGAATCTAAAGCCAAGCTTCCTTGCCCTGTCTCACTCAACACCATCTTCATAAAAACTAAAACAAATTACATTCTGTTTTTAACTAAGTACCAAAGAAAGCTCTCTGAATACTGCTGAGCAGAGAGATGATGATCCTTGAAGTACCACTCCTCTATTAGCATCTCTGGAGTAATGCTAGAAACTCTGAGTGTGAATGACACTAATGAGACAGTGCATTGCGCGGATGGGCAAAGACAGGTTGAATCATGCACCATCTACTTTCATTCAGTAATTGAAGCCTGCATCTGCAACGAGACTATGAGCAACTATCCAGCTAACTTCAAGATCCAGCCTAAATTCATTCCTTTCTCAAATCCACTTTTATGCTTCCCATCTGTGCTCTCTTTCAGTACTGTCCACCCTACTTTGCTGTTCTTCCAAGCAACTGTTGTCTCCTCTCATGGCTATGGCCTCCTCTGTCTTGACTTGCAGCTATACTGTTATACCAGTTTTAATGCTGTGTCCAGTCCCTGAGAGTGGCACACATCACTCAGATTATTGTCAGCCCCTAAAATGAGCTCCTAGTTCTTCCAGCCGTTTCTGCTAGAAGCTTGCCTATAGTGAAGATCCTCAATCAAGTGAAAATTGCCAGAAGCATATCATCTATTTGCTCTCCAAAGGCCAGTGACAAACACACAGACTGAGAGCGATTTCCAGAACACCGGCAAAGCTGCGTCTCCTGCAGTCAGCCCCCTTATTTTGTCTCCCAAGATAAATTATTTGCAGAGTTCTGTTAGGTAGCCCATCAGAGGCATAACAACAGTGTAATTTAGTCATGTCTGCATCACAGTGCTAGTCTGAGAAACACAGCTGGTTAACATCACCTTGAACACTGACTCTATTTTTTCCCATTTCTTAAGTGTTTCAAAGCAGTGTCAAGAGTGGCAGTGCTTGTCACTGAAGCAACAACTGTAATTCTAGCCTAAAAAAAAAAACCAAACAAATTTGAAATGTTTTTATGCAATGTGAACAACCCAAGAGTTAAAATTTCATTCCTTGTGAATCACATTTGGTGTTATCCAAGATGCAGCACTAAACTCCCACGAAGACTGCTCCACATCACTTGGTTGTGTGTGCCTGCCAGATTTATAAGCACCCTACTCTCCCCAAAAATGTTACTGCATAGTGACACGGCCAGGGTAACACAGGCACATGTCCAGCAGGATGGTACAATGGGGAGCAGCCCTTCGTACTTAGGAAGGTGAGAGCATCTGTGAGGATATGCAGGAAGGTGAATTCTGTTCTACATCATCTGCCTTCAGGCGCTTTACTGCAGGAGCCCTTAGCCAGTTGGAAAGACCCACTCCTGGAAGAGAAGCTCTGCCTTCAGCAGTGACTACAGAAAATTACCATGACAAAGGTTTCCCCTACTGCCTTTCCTTTCTAGCATGTGACGTTTAGTCATTGTTCCATGCTATGACACCACCTTGTATACAGCAGCTTGACAATTTGTGGCAGCTTAGACAGAAGATTCCTCAAACCATACCCTGACTACAATAATTTTATTTGATGCAAATGTTTGATACAAAGTACAAAACCTGTCACGTGTTCCCATCCACCTGAGCTCAGCCACTTGCTCTTTTAAATGAGGCAATAGATTTACATCCTCAAGGGCTCTCTTTGCATGCAAACTGGTAACTGAAGTCTGGGGACTTGTTTTAAAGTCCCAAGCTTTGGGTCTCACAGGGCCTGAAATGTCTAAACTTCTTTATTTACAAATGCAGCATGAGAGTGGAAGTTTTTGGAAGCAAAACTGCCCTAAGCTACCTTTGGTACTAAATGGCACAGTCAAAACATGACTTGAAATACTACAAGGTAGCTGGCCTTTATGTGAAATGGGGTCCTGTTTACCGGTGCACTC